TGTGTCCATTTCTTCTAGATTGCCTAATTTATTGGCATATAGCTGTTCATAATGTGTTTTTAAAATTGTTTGCATTTCCTTGGTGTTGGTAGTGATCTCTCCTTTCTCATTCATGATTTTATTAATTTGAGTCTTCTCTCTCTTCTTTTTAATAAGGTTGGCTAATAGTTTATCTATCTTATTAATTCTTTCAAAGAACCAACTCCTGGTTCTGTTGATCTCTTCCACAGTTCTTCTGGTCTCAATTTCGTTCAGTTCTGCTCAAATCTTTATTAACTCTCTTCTTCTGCTGGGTGTAGGATTGATTTGCTGTTTTTTCTCTAGCTCCTTTATGTGTAAGGTTAGCTTTTGTATTTGAGTTCTTCCAGTTTTTAAATGGATGCTTGTATTGCAATGTATTTCCTCCTTAGGACGGCTTTTGCTGCATCCCAAAGATTTTGAACGGTTGTATCTTCATTCTCCTTAGTTTCCATGAATCTTTTTAATTCTTCTCTAATTTCCTGGTTGACCCTTTTATCTTTTAGCAGGATGGTCCTTAACCTCCACGTGTTTGAGGTCCTTCCAAACCTCTTTTTGTGATTTAGTTCCAATTTCAAGGCATTATGGTCTGAGAGTATGCAGGGGACTATCCCAATCTTTTGGTATTGGTTCAGACCTGATTTGTGACCCAGTATGTGGTCTATTCTGGAGAAAGTTCCATGTGCACTTGAGAAGAATGTGTATTCAGTTGAGTTTGGATGTAAAGTTCTGTAGCTATCTGTGAAATCCATCTGGTCCAGTGTATCATTTCAAGCTCTTGTTTCTTTGGAGATGTTGTGCTTAGAAGACCTATCAAGTGTAGAAAGCGCTACATTGAAGTCACCAAGTAAAAGTGTATTATTATCTAAGTATTTCTTCACTTTGGTTATTAATTGATATATTTGGCAGCTCCCACATATGGAGCATATATATTGAGGAGTCTTAAGTCCTCTTGTTGGATAGGTCCTTTAAGTATGATATAGTGTCCCTCTTCATATCTCACTACAGTCTTCTGGCTAACTTTAAGTTTATCTGATATAAGGGTGGCTACCCCTTCTTTCCTTTGAGGACCATTTGAATGGTAAATGGTTCTCCAACCTTTTACTTTCAGGCTATAGGTGTCCTTCTGTCTAAAATGAGTCTCTTGTAGACAGCAAATAGATGGGTCCTGCTTTTTTATCCAGTCTGAAACCCTGTGCCTTTTGATGGGGTCATTAAGCCCATTCATGTTCAGAGTTACTATTGAAAGATATGAATTTGGGAGCCCTGGGTGGCGCAGCAGTTTAGTGCCTGCCTTTGGCCCAGGGCATGATCCTGCAGACCTGGGATCAAATCCCTCGTCGGGCTCCCAGTGTTTGGAGCCTGTTTCTCCCTCTGCGTATGTCTCTGCCTCTCTCTCTCTCTAGCTGTGTGACTATCATAAATAAATAAAAATTAAAAAAAAGAAAAATATGAATTTAGTGTCATCATGATATCTATTCAGTCCTTGTTTTTGTGGATTGATCCACTGAACTTCTTCTCAAGGGGGAATTTTAAGAGTTCCCCTTAAAATTTCTTGCAGAGCTGGTTTGGAGGTCACATATTCTTTCAGTTCTCCCTGTCTTGGAAGCTCTTTATCTCTCCTTCCATTGCACCCAAAAGCATAAGATACCCAGGAATAAACCTAACCAAAGAGGTAAAGGATCTATACCCTAAAAACCTTAGAACACTTCTGAAAGAAATTGAGGAAGACACAAAGAGATGGAAAAATATTCCATGCTCGTGGATTGGCAGAATTAATATTGTGAAAATGTCAATGTTACCCAGGGTAATTTACACGCTTAATGCAATCCCTATCAAAATACCATGGACTTTCTTCAGAGAGTTAGAACAAATTATTTTAAGATTTGTGTGGAATCAGAAAAGACCCCGAACAGCCAGGGGAATTTTAAAAAAGAAAACCATATCTGGGGGCATCACAATGCCAGATTTCAGGTTGTACTACAAAGCTGTGGTCATCAAGACAGTGTGTACTGGCACAAAAACAGACACATAGATCAATGGAACAGAATAGAGAACCCAGAAGTGGACCCTCAACTTTATGGTCAACTAATATTCAATAAAGGAGGAAAGACTATCCATTGGAAGAAAGACAGTCTCTTCAATAAATGGTGCTGGGAAAATTGGACATCGACATGCAGAAGAATGAAACTAGACCACTCTCTTGCACCATACACAAAGATAAACTCAAAATGGATGAAAGATCTAAATGTGAGACAAGATTCCATCAAAATCCTAGAGGAGAACACACGCAACACCCTTTTTGAACTTGGCCACAACAACTTCTTGCAAGATACATCCATGAAGGCAAAAGAAACAAAAGCAAAAATGAACTATTGGGACTTCATCAAGATAAGAAGCTTTTGCACAGCAAAGGATACAGTCAACAAAACTCAAAGACAGCCTACAGAATGGGAGAAGATATTTAAATGATGTATCAGATAAAGGGCTAGTTTCCAAGATCTATGAAGAATTTATCAAACTCAACACCAAAGAAACAAACAATCCAATCCTGAAATGGGCAAAAGACATGAAGAGAAATCTCACAGAGGAAGACATAGACATGGCCAACAGGCACCTGAGAAAATGCTCTGCATCACTTGCCATCAGGTAAATACAAATCAAAACCACAATGAGATACCCCCTTACACCAGTGAGAAAGGGGAAAATTAACAAGGCAGGAAAGCACAAATATTGGAGAGGATGCGAAGAAAAGGGAACACTCTTACACTTTTGGTGGGAATGTGAACGGATGAGGCCACTCTGGAAAACTGTGTGGAGGTTCCTCAAAGAGTTAAAAGTAGATCTGCCCTAGGACCCAGCAATTGTACTGCTTGGGATTTACCCCAAAGATACAGGTGCAATGAAACGCCAGGACACCTGCACTCCAATGTTTATAGCAGCATAAAATGACAAATACTCACCATTTGCTTGGACGTGGATTGAACTGGAGGGTATTATGCTGAGTGAAATAAGTCAATTGGAGAAGGACAAACATTATATGGTCTCATTCATTTGGAGAATATAAAAATATTGAAAGGGAATAAAGGGGAAGGGAGAAAAAATAAGTGGGAAATATCAGAGAGGGAGACAGAACATAAAGACTCCTAACTCTGGGAAACGAACTAGGGGTGGTGGAAGTGGCGGTCGGTGGGGTGTGGGGGTGACTGGGTGGCGGGCACTGAGGTCGGCCCTTGACGGGATGAGCACTGGGTGTTATTCTGTATGTTGACAAATTGAACACCAATAAAAATAAATTTATCAAAAAAAGAAAAATGTGCAAAGGGAATAAACCTGTAATTTACAACATAAAATATACAATGTGCATCAATAGAAGAGGATTTTTAAAGATGAATAATAAAGGGTTTTTCTGAGTGATTTAAATGTATAACTTTTGGAATAAGAAAACCAGGTTTGGAATGTCAGATGTACCACATATAAGCTGTTTGAACTTGGGAGAGACAACCAATCCATTCCAAACGAATAACCTTACTCAGGTAGTGGCAACAGCAGTACCCACCCTCCTAGGGTGGCAGACAGCAGTTGTCAGCATATGTAAAAAGCTTACAATATAGTTCCTTCCTATGAGTAAAGAAGTGATTATCACCCATGAAGAGATTTGGCTGAATTTCTTCTATTTCATAAATGTCTCCATTGTTTCCACATCTCTTGATAATAAAGTATTGTTGTGCCCAAGATTGTGAATCCAAGAAACCACCGAGGAGCCGACACCAATGCAAGTACACGAGGGTTTATTAATAAGCTCGAGCTTGGGTCCAAGTATACCTGACACAGCAAAGCAGGGCTTGGACCCCGAGATTAAATAATTTTCATAGCAATAAATGTATGATTTAATATTTTGCTTCATCATCCTTAAAGTCAATTGTGATTCTAAGGCCATATTATGTCGATCTAACTTTTCCATATTTGTCTTTCTGTGTAGATTCTACTTGGAGACATGGATTTTATTATCTTATGTTGCCATTGACTATGGTAGGCATGGTGCATACAAGCTGTATAACACCAGGATCCTTTTTTTAAAAAATTTTTTAATAATAAATTTATTTTTATTGGTGTTCAATTTGCCAACATACAGAATAACACCCAGTGCTCATGCCATCAAGTGCCCCCCTCAGTGCCCGTCACCCATTCACCCCCACCCCCCGCCCTCCTCCCTTTCCACCACCCGTAGTTCATTTCCCAGAGTTAGGAGTCTTTATGTTCTGTCTCCCTTTCTGATATTTCCTACGCACTTCTTCTCCCTTCCCTTCTATTCCCTTTCACTATTATTTATATTCCCCAAATGAATGAGAACATATGATGTTTGTCCTTCTCTGATTGACTTATTTCACTCAGCATAATACCCTCCAGTTCCATCCACGTCGAAGCAAATGGTAACTCCAGTATCCTAATGTGTAGAACAATCCCTATGATCAGCTACAACAACCAGGACATCAATGTCTGCATTCTCATGAAGAGCAGTTAAGGTAATGGTATACAAAGGAATGATCACAGAGTGAAGCACAGTTGTCTCAGATTTTCCTCTGTTATAAACTTATATAAATACTTGTGGTTGCCAAGAGTAGATTTTCCATAGGAGTAGTATTCAGTCAAACAAAACAAAAAATACTCACTATGATATATTTTATGTGAAAAGAAATTATTCTTATCAGATCCATATAGTCCTTTGAAATAAGTGAGAATTTCCAAATATTTCACATCCAAGGTTAGGAATAGCATTGAGGGAGTAGGGAATGACAAAGGGAAAATCTCTTTTGTATCAGAGATACCAGAAAGCTTAATAAATTGAGTTACATATATTGCACAAGAGGTTGAAATTTCAAAAAAAATAGAAATTTCAGGAAAAAAATAGAAGAGGAACACTCCACTTCCACAATCTGATCAAAGAATCCAATGTTTGGCTCAGGCTTCAGGTCCTGCAATCATGGGCACTTCTTCAGCCCCAGAACGATTGGCCTTTTTAGAGCTGGCATCCCGGAAAATCTCATCAGAGCCTCCTTTATGTCTCTGTTCCTCAAGCTGTAGATGAAAGGGTTCATCATGGGTGTGACCACTGTGTACATCACTGAGGCCACTGCACTTGAGTGGGAGCTCTGGGTAGCAGCAGAGCTAAGGTACACTCCTAGGATTGTACAATAAAATAAGGAGACAACTGAGAGGTGAGATGCACAGGTGGAAAATGCTTTATACTTGCCCTGAGCTGATGAGATTCTATGTATGGAGGAAACTATCTTAGAGTAAGAGAAAAGAATCCCAACAAAGGGACCACCAGCCAACAAGACAGCTGCAAAATACATCACCATGTTATTGAGAAAGGTGTCAGAACAGGCAAGTTGGATCATCTGATTGAGTTCACAGAAAAAATGAGGGATTTCCAACTTTGTACAGAAGGACAGCCGCAAGAGCATTAAGCTTTCTAACAAGGAATGGAGGATGCTTATAATCCATGACATCAGAACCAACTGCCCACACAGCTGTGGATTCATGATGACCATGTAGTGCAGAGGGTGACAGATGGCCACAAACCTGTCATAGGCCATCACAGACAGGAGAAGGACATCTAATCCTGCAAAGAGTATAAAAAAGTATATCTGGCTGAGACAGCCTTCATAAGTGATGACTTTGCTCTGAGTCTGGATGTTCCATAGCATCTTGGGGACGGTGGTGGAGGTGAAACAGATGTCCACAAAGGACAGGTTGGTGAGGAAGAAGTACATGGGAGTGTGGAGGTGGGAGTCAGAGCTGACAGCCAGGATGAGGAGCAGGTTTCCAAACACAGTGATCAGGTACATGGAGAGAAAAAGCCCAAATATGAGTGGCTGTAGTTCTAGTTCCTCTGAAAATCCCAAAAGAAGAAACTCTGAAACTCCTGTACGGTTCCCTGGTTCCATGGGTTGAAGGTAGCTACCAGGATATAGAAAAGTAAATGATGAATTTTTACAGAAGCAAGCATTAGTAACCTAGCGTCAGTGCTACCGCTTACATTTTAGAATCAGGAAGTTAGTTTCAAAGTATGCGTGTGGTCTTGTTCCCATTAGGGTATCCCTAACACCATTTCTCATCAGGAATTCTGTTTCCATCTGTCTGTTCCTCAAGCATAATGTAGATTCTGTTTTTATTGAGAATATTTTTCATTCCATTAAGGAATACATACTGAATACTTACCATGTTCCAGGCAATGTACAGACAACGTATATAGAGTGCTGAGAAAAAAAATGTCCTTATAATTGTATGATGGAGAGAAAATATAAGGAAATACAAATAAACAAATAGCATGTCAGATGGTGAGATGAGCTCTGAAGACAAGGAAAACAGGTATAAAGGAGAGAGTTGATGGGGTGTTATCTTTTTTTTTTTTTACAGGATGTCCACATAAGTCCTACAAAGAGATAACATGTGAACAAGAACTCGAGGGAGATAGGAGGGTAGTGGAGTTTATCTCAGGAAGTGTGCATCCATCAGAGGAATAGCCAGGGCCAATTCCCCAGAGAAGCTGTTTGATTAGGAAAACCAAGGCTCAAATGAAAGCCAGGGTGTTGGGAAGAAGCAAGAAGGAGTGTGATGAAAGGTGGTGGCAGTGTGTGTTGAGGAAGGAGGCAGCCATGTACTAAGACTGAAACTTTAAGACACAGGGAAGTCCCTCACTTTATTAATTTTGCAGGATTTTCTTAATTTTGTTATAAATGTGTCCTGTGAATCAAAATGGACACCCCCATTAGTAATTTCTGTTTGAGTGGTGGCCTCTGAAAATGTGAATATGTGAACTGCGGTACCCTTTCTCTGAGGACTGCCCTAAGTTCACAACACACACACACACACACACACACACACACACACACCATGACCCCCACTGTGGCCTCCTGGGCTACAACTAACATACCTTTTTCACCCCTGGTTATGATAGGTAAGCCAACAGTGGATACAGATCAATCCTGCCAGATTTTGTTAATTTTGTTATATTTTCCCTAAAAATGCAGAAGTGGTACCCAGAATCTACTGTGGACAAATAAAATTAGGGATGCTCATTTTCTGCCTAGTATCAATCTAAAGAAACATGGGCAATTTGCATAGTAAAGACAGAGAAAAAAGAGAAATGGCATGGGCATGAGAGGGAAGACAGATCCAATAGTGTAGGTGACCCCTGAGACTGACCAGGAGGAAGAATAGTCTTTGGTTCTGGTGACAGTCCTGACCTCCTTAGATCCTCTTGATGCCCAACAAAAATAATAAAGGAGTGAAAGCCACAGTAGTCTTATTTTCATGGTGTGAAACATGTTATAGATGGAATGTTCAGAGAGACAAATGAGCAAAAGGTATAAACCAACTCTTTACAACAAAAAATAGAGAAAGTAGAACAGTAGCTGGTCTGTTTAAATATCATGGAGGAGAAGACTTGCTTTGCTGTGGCCAGTGTGTACTTATTTAACTGATCACGGTTTATTCAGCCCAGTGTGGGGTGAAGCAAGCCCCTTCCTCACTTGTCTTATGTGACATATTTTCTTTGTTATTCCTGCTCTTTGAGGTTTGATCATTTTGACAAGTCCAGTGGACACTCTCTGATCTTGGTTCCTTCCTTAACCCCAGATCCTGCTCTCTACATCCTGCACTTGCCATGACAAACCATCTTGTCGCTCAAGATAGCTTTTTACGTGATTTTTCCATGAGGCCATTATATGACACACACATTTTATTGCACTCTGCCTTTGCCACAGTGTGCAGTACCAAGTGAGCAGGCACTTCATCTGCATTGTTGTTCACTTTTGTTTTTCCCAAACTATGGGGGTATATGAGCCTTTTTATAAAAATACATTGAAGAAAGTGAGAAGTTATAGAACAAGAAGAAGGGCAAAGGAGATGAAACCCATTAACTAGGGTCATTTTACACAGTTGTATTAAGCAAAACAGAAAGGAACATGAAAAACAAACTGAACATGAAATACCACACACTAACTGAATAATATCAACATGAATTAGTAGCTTATTTAGCAAAGAGAATATAATATAAAATGTATCTAGAACTTTCTGGCACATAGTGATTGCTCTGTAATTATTTGCTGAATGAGTCAGGAATTAGGTCAGTAAGACATGGACATTTAACAGATGGGAAGGTTGTACTTTAATTGCAACAGCCTGGATTGTTGAATTAACACTGGCACAAATGACTGTATGGGAGGAAATGAAGTGGTTCCTTATTGTACCCACCTTTAAAAAAATCCAAGGAACTATATGGAGGCCAAGAAAATTAGGGCCATTCAAGTTTAACATTGGCACAAGTACAGCTATTGTAGCTTCGGTAGCCATCTCAGGCCACTGTGACCAGGTACTGAACTCCACTTTACCCCGGTTACAGAAAAAAACACAAAGCACGCCCTTATTGGAATAAGGAAGCAAGAGCTTGTGCCACCCCCACCCTTACTGAAAAACCCCACCTTACCCCTAGACCAGCCCATAAAAACCCAACTGTAACCCACCTCAGAGTCCAAGTCCCTGCTCCGCTATGTTGGGTATACTTGGACCCAAGCTTGAGCTTGCTAATAAGACCCAGCTGTAACTCACCTCAGGGTCCAAGTCCCTGCTCTGCTGTGTCGGGTATACTTGGACCCAAGCTCGAGCTTGTTAATAAACCCTCATTGTACTTGCTTCAGTGTCGGCTCCTTGGTGGTTTTCTCAGATTCGCAATCTTGGGCACAACTAAAGACACCAGCGTAAAAGTAAATGATCCTTTGTAGATGAACATAGGAAAAAGTGCATATAAACTTTACAGGTGGGTAATATCATTATGATTAAGGTGAGAAAATAAGAAGTAAAATGGAAAGCATACTTAACTCCATAAAATTTTTTAAAATTATATACCAAAACACCCAACCAAAAATTGATTTAATAATAACAACTTTGTAAAAATCATTTGAAATGCACTGAAGTGTGGGAAATAGGCATGAAATGTTTGAAGAGATAAAAATAATGGACAAATAAATGTGGATGCAATATTTGAATCTTTGCTCAAGGTGAACGATAGTTGGAGAAAAAAAAATATTTTTCTCATACCCATCAGATAGGAAAGCTCATGAAGAAGAGCTGCCATGTTGATTGGGGCTGGAACTTCTAATCTGGAAGTGAAGGTCACACTCCACACTCCTTAATTTTGCTGGCAGAAATGAGAGGTGAGGAATGCTGGGAAAACAAACATTTATAGCTGAAGGCAGCTATAAATATTAAAAATACAGATATTCTTTAAGTTCGGGTTTCTCAATCTCTGCACTGACTGACATTCTGGGCCAGATCCTTTTCTGTGGAGGGTCTCCCTATGCATGATAGCATGTTTAGCAGCATCCTTGACCACCACCTGCTCCTCCCCAGTGTGAGTGAAACATGTCTAGATATTGCTTCAAAGTTCCCTGAGCGTCAAGATGGCCCCTGGTTTAGAAATAATTTTTAACATAAAAATCCCTAAATATTTTTGTAGCAAGGACACAATAATATTTCTTTGAGAAAAAATATGAACAACCTCTGATATGGGAATAGCCAAGTCACACCATGAAATGTTACACAGGCACTGAAATAAAGAGCTAGAATTATATCAGTTGATTGGGAGCAAGCCAACATGGGTCATTACTTCTCATTTAAGATTAAATTGCCAAGGACTTGGAAATAAAAGATATATCAGAAAGGCACTTAGGGCATGGTGGAGAAGCAATAACAGATGTAATTTCATCTTATATAAATATCTATGAATTCAAATAGGCTTATAGAATGAAAAGATGATCTTTAGTCAGATGGTAAAGAAAAATGGCATTCAGATGGTGGCCAAAGGTGACCCAAACTTCAGAAAGAGATCTAACCACAAAAGGCCAAATAACTATACTAAAGAATAACAGACATATTTGGAAACATGTATAAAAGATAATTTGACAACACTAAAGATGAAGCATTTTCTTTTTCCTGTACATCAAGGAGTGATAATTGAATATTGAAGTGCCTAGTTAAAAAAAGAAAAAGGAAAAGGCAACACATGAATGGAATGTGCAGAGTGGTGATTACTGTGAACAATAGCATGTTGCAGATTGGAAAGTCACCAAGAGAGTAGAGCTTCAAAGCCCTTATCACAAGAAAAAAACTTTGTGATGATGCATGGTGACAGGTGTGGCGATCATTTTGTCATATATACAAGTATGGTATCATTATGTTTTACACCCAAAACTAAGAGGATGTTATAGGTCAGTTATACCTCAATAAAAAAGAGTTAAGCAATCCAGAGGGCCCAGAATCCCTGACTGATCTATTTGACCAAACTAAATTCATAACCTTCATACCCCACAAATACATTTATATGGACATTAAAGAACTAAATGGCCAACAGTCAGTTTGTATAAAAATTCCAAATCTTTGTTAAAAAGAATCACATTTTTATTTTATTTTTTTAAAGATCTTATATTCAAGCAATCTCTATACCCAACATAAGGCTCAAACTCACAGCTCTGAGAACAAGAGTCACATGCTCACTGACTGAATCAGCCAGAAACCCCAAGGTTCAAATTTTTAAAAAAGAAGAAAAAACACAATTATAACACCATCCAAAAGCAGAAGACTTGCATAGACAATTCTTAACAGAAGCTACCAAATGACCAACAAACAAACAAATACAGTCAGCCTCACAGGTTCTAAAATAATGCAAACTAAAGCTCATTAACATACCCATTTTCATCTATTACATACATTTTTTTCATGTGTGTTCCTAGAATGAGAAAAGATAACGTAGGTTTCACGTACCACTATTGCAAGGATGTATCTGCAATCATTGCTTGGTCTAGATCTTTCTCATCCATGTAGAAGCATAGTCTAAGATGCCCCATCTTAAAATAAAAGGACATGCCCTCACTTCACTGTATCTCTC